CCACTCTGCTGGGGCACCTGCGTGTCGCATGGCGTTGGCCAGCGCCGCATTCGAGGGGTGTCCCAGACTGACGTGGGCGCGCTTGACCGCACGGATGGTCGAGACGTTGAAGCGCTTCAGCAGCTCCTGCATCACGTCTGTGTACTCGATGGCGTCGATGTCCTTGTGCACTTCCTCGGCTGTGTAGATCTCGTCGATGTCGGCGGCCATGCCCTGGTAAGCAATCAGGTAAGCCATCCGTCGAGCCATCGGTGCGGGGTAGTTCTGAGCCTGCTGGGCGAGCTTGCCGCGTAGTGTCACGTGCTCGCCCCTGCACTCGCACCTCAGACCCATGTGATCGACGAACTCCTTGTTAGTGGACTGCAATCGCGTCGGCTTCTGGTACGGCATGTCCACTCCCTTCATGGGGAACTTGGCTCCCAGGCGGCACTGGTCCAGTCGGCAGTGGTGTCCCGGCAGTGCCTTCCACGTCTGGGTGCTCCAGTGCGCTCCTGACCATGGGCCTTCCACGTAGGCGTGTCGGCCTCCATTCAGCTGCTTCACGAACGAGTCACGGACCAACTTCAGAAACGTCTTCTCCTCGCGTACTCTCGCCTCGTGGATCTCCGCGGCGCGCTCTGCTGAGAGCGAGGCGTTCACGTACTGCCACGAGCACCATACTTTGCACGGGGTGCGAAGAAAATGTCGTCGGGTCTCTCGACGTCGATCTTCCTCAGGAACGCCTTAATCACCTTCGGCTTGGAGAAATTCCAGCCGTCCTCGAGGCGGAACTGCATGACGTCCACCGTGGGGTACTCGAGCAGCGCCTGCGACAGACCTCCTGCGTCCACGAATACCTCCCAGACCTTACGCGGCGGGGGTCCTCGGAGCATCTCCTTCATGCCGTCGTATGCCTGCTCGAGGGCCAGGGCCAGGTCGGTGTAGGTGTCGGGGTCCATCGTGCTCGGTCTAGCGCTCTCGCTCGAACCCGCCACCGAAAACTCCTGGGTCCGCTCACTTCCCACGTCGTCATTGTCACTGATGTCATAAAACTCGGTGACCGTCTCGAGGTAGTACGCGTCGGGGTCCACGTCGGACGATTCAGAATCGTCCTCGGACTCGCTCGGCGGTGCCTCGGACTCGTTGTCGGTCGAGTCGTCGCTGCTGGGCTCGCCCTCGGTCGGCGCGCCCTCGTTCATCGCGTCGTCGGTGACCCTGCCGGCGCCACCCAGCAGGTCGATGATGAAGTGCCCCTTCTCGTCTCGCTCGGACTTCATCCAGCCTTTGTCGGGGAGGTCCTTCATCATAAACGTGCCGGCGCGGTAGTCCTGGACCAAACCCCACTCTTCCATGCACGGACGGGCGATGAGCAGCGGCGCCCACCCCTCGACGAGATGGATCGTGATCTGCTTCTTGACGCCGAACGGCCACACGTTCAAGGTCACGGACCGCTTGGCCTCCAGCGTCTTGCCGTCTCCGAATCGAAATCGTCGGTCGCTCTTGCCGTACTCGACCTCGTGCAGCAGCTGGCGTGAACGCAGCAGCTCCTCCCACTGCGCCCAGATCTTGTCGCCCATGACGGGCCGCGTCGCACCGCCGTCGCTGATGCCCTTGCCAGTCGACATCAGGTACACCTCCTCGGTCGAGTTAGCGTACTCTAGCGTCTCCACGTCTTCTACCATGGCGGCGTGCTCCGAATCGGGCTTCACGAAACCTCCTCCACGGAATCGCTTGAACCTCGGGCCGTGCTGCTGTGTCGAGCCTGTAGCGGTCGATCCTGCGGGCGTCGCCGTCGGGGGCCTGTTGAAGATGTTCACCTTCGGCCTGAACACCTGGCGCGAGCCGGTGCCCTTGCCTTTGCCTTTGCCTTTGCTGCGGCCCTTGCCCTTGCCGCCCGTCGGCTTGGCAGAGCGCGACGCGCCCTTGCCGTGTTGAAAGTTGTTGCCGGGCGCGACAGCGACGATCGGGTAGAAACCTCTCGACTTGGCGATCTCCGCTACGCGCCTCTTCGCATCCACGAAACTGAGGTAGGCCTCGTCGCACGCGATCTGGGCTTCTTCCACGTCCTGCGGCAGCTCGTCGGCGACGTCGGCCTCTTCCTCGTACTCTTCAGCGTCGTACTCCTCGTACTCGTCGTAATCGTATTCTTCCTCCTCCAGGTATGAGTCTTCGTAGCTCAGGCCTCGCTCCCACTCGTAGTCGTTCGTGTAGTGCACGTCGTCCTTATGACCCTGCCCGACCAGCATCCTCTCAACTCGCTTCACGTCGCGCTTGTCGGGTACGGCTTCGGCTCCATATGTATCGAGTAGGGCCTTCTTCACACTAGTCCAGCTGAGGCCGTTGGCACATTGACTTCGTACCTGGGCGGCGCCCGAAGGTGGGACGGCCGCTCGTGAGAGGAGGTGCTAGCCCGCCAGCATGTCGGGAATCTCCATGCCGACCTCCTTGAGCTTCCTCAGCTCTCGCTTGTGACGCAAGCAGTAAAGCTTCATCGTCTCCTTATCCTGGCGAGCGAACTTGCCGAAAAACTGATCTGTGCGGGCTGGCAGCTCGGTCTGGTTATCGTACTTGTAGTACTCGTCGAGGACCTGGAACAGCGGCTTGAAGGCGTCCTCGGACTCCAGCTGATCCAGGTCGATGTCCTCCGTAGCCTCCGCGGCTTCACCCTGCAGCGAGTTCATGATCAAGAACGCGCCCTCGCTGATCGCGGTGGTGCCGCGCTTCCTGCAGCAGCGCTCGAAGACCTCCAGCTTTCGGCGAAAGACTCTGTAGCCGTCGGTCTTGAGCAGCTCGTACGTCGGTGCCGTCTTCGACAGGCCTGCGTCAAGGCCTCTTCCCCCACCGTCCCAGGCGGAACTCGCCCTCTGCCACCAGTCGTTCCAGTCCCCGCCCTCGGCGTAATGACCCTCCACGGTGCTGTCGGGAGATGGCGGGACTCTGGACGTCTCCGCTGTCGGTGCGCTGCCGGCGGCAGCTCCTGCAGCGGCGGCCGCTGTGGCCGCGGCGCCGGGCGCCCTCGCGGGCGGCGGTGACGCCGGAGTGGCCTGCGGCCTCGGCGGGCCCCGCGGGCGCGGGCCCGCTGGCAT